TAGCACTACTCAGAGAGGGTGCTCAACAGTACCTTATTAAATAAGCATGAATATATCTGTACAGATGAGAGAATTAACCAGTATTCAGTGTCTGGGGAGATATGCATTCTCAACTAAATGGTCATAAAAGACACCAAAAGCTTCCTATTATGATGGAGGGTTGACTACAGAAAGTACAACTGCATTCAGTTGTTCAGAGTTCTGAAGTAGAATAAGAAGTATTTTTAGGGGGGGGAATACATTTGAGAAGATAGATTAAACTAACATTTATCTAAAATATACTATATTCTCAAGTCCTATGCACTTTATCTTGTTGGACAATTTAAGAGAAAGAAAAAACCCTGAAAGGAATTAATTGAGTACCAAACCTCATGGATGAATGAAATTAGGGTACCAAATCTCCGTATACAGTGACTTCTTCTATTTAAATTGTGGGAACGTTTTTCAAGAGGAAACAAATTGGATGCTTCGGGGAGTGTATCCTGGAATAGGGGATGTGGCAGGCTGCTACTATAAAGGGGAGTGATTTAGGAAGGATTTCTAAATTACTGCTAAAACAGTACAATTTAATGGGCCTAAGTACGAGGGTTACTTAAGGAGAAACAATGGAGTCTTTCTAGTATAGATAATCCAACATACAGATTTGAGAAGATTGTCTTCTCTCTGGATGAAAAGGAGCAGTAATTTAAATTAAAAAAAAAAAATCAGCTGTGGACTCAAGAAAGCAGAGCACGAAAGGGTACTTATACTAGAAATGATGGCTTCACAAATAAGGCATTCAAAAGAGTTGAGCATTCACCTATAAAGCCTATCTGCACAAAGAAGTAGCTGGTGGAAATGCACCACTATGGTAAGGCAGGGGAGCCAGTAAAGGCTTGTGTGGCCCATGTCTGTGTCCACATAGCAGACATCCATCAACCGGTCAAAATCCAAGAAGAGGTGCCACTGGAGTTGGAAAACATGTACAAACAGACCTCAAAGAAGTGGGAAATATCACACAACCAGCTGAAGAAATA